AAAAAAAAAAAAAAAAAAAGATGACAGTGGCTCCTGTTCCAGTCCTGATGCTCTGTGGAAGTGAAACTTTGGTAGCTTGGTAGAGGCATGCTGGCCAACCACCACTCCCCTGACGAAGCTACTCTGATGGACCAAGACCCTCCTGGACTCAGAGGATACAAAACCAGCAGACAAGATCTGTGGGAAAATGGTCTCTCGAGAGTCCCCTTAGGCACATACTCAAGGTGGCAGATTCCTCCTGCAGCTGGGGTTGCTCTCCAGGCTGGACCTTAGGGAAGATGTAGATCACACTCCTAAAGTTAAGAGTACCTATGTGTGTGTGTTCACTTTCCTAACCCTGAACTGCCCAGATGCCATGCATCCCCCACGACACTCAATACACCACAACACGGTCTCAACTCTTCCTGACTCTTGAGCTGGCTGAGCAGCATGATGACCTTTTGTGCCCACGTGCAACCCAGAGCCACTGTACCATGCCAGAGGGTTCAGCATCTCAGAGGAAATACCCAGCTTCTCCATACAGTAGGTGGTCAAGAAGAAGCCAGAGCAATAGCTGGAATCTCTGTCAAGCCTCTTGCATGACTTGCCTGGTTGCTCCCTCTGTGCTGCCAAGGCCCAAGCAAGGGGAGAGACAGAGGGTCAGCTAGCTTGCAAAGGCCTCATGATCTCAATGATGCCCATGTCATTGTCAACTCTGCAGGCAATTATGGACCGGAGCTGACAGTGGCCTCTGGGCAGGGTCTCCCTGGGCCCCAACCCATGCCAAAGCCTACAGATACCCATTTATCTGTCTCCTGCGGAAGGGTAACTGTGTTCCAGCTGTGGCGTAATGAAGGCCTTGGGATTGGGGTGCTGGCCCATCCCACCTTTACCTTATAATACCCACCGGCCTCCCCCCAACCCCCAGTGCTTTCTGAAGCCCCATATACAAGGCAGGAGGGGGATCCAGGTCTGAAAACTGATGGAGTCATCTTACCTGCCTTTTACAAAGATACAGGGATAGCATAGGCAGGTCCAATGCCTATGATGTCAGGTGGGACCCCAACTGTATAGGACCTCAGGACCCAGAGGATGGGGAGGCCCAACTCTTCTGCCTTGAACCTCTGGGCCAGCAGGCTGGCTGCTGCCCATATCTCACCTGGCTAGAGTTTCCTAGGGCTGAATATTTTTGATGAGGCAGCATCAGGGTGGGGCACCCCAGCCCTCCCACAAACATCTTGGTGAGGGACTAGGTCAGCTCCAAGCTTCCAAAGCAGAATGGCCAGGCTGACTGCATCCCAGGCCCAGCCCAAGCTCGCCAGCTGTGGTGGGGCTTCTGCCCTTGAAGGAAGGCTTCAGCTTGTCAAGCCCTTTCCTGGGACACAGGGATGCTGTTCTTAGTGCCCTTGTTATGAGGATGGTAGTCGTCTGAGGTACAATCTCACTGTGGAAACTCCCTGCTCAGAGCCGTTGCTGTCCTGTCAGCCCCATGGATGGGCAGGCTCGGGCTTCCTTGGGATAACCCTCCTCCCTATTCCCACTCCTGTTTATTTGGGCAGACACAACCTGAGGCCTCAAAATCTGGGGACATACATCACCCCGTGGAAACTCTAAGGTACTACTGGGGTCCCTCATAACTCCAACCATTTCCCGGGAGGCAAAGGCATTCCTGTGTCCTCCTAGGGCTGCTTTACCATCAGCTCCAGATTGACACATTGGGGTCAAAGGCATGCTCAAAACATATGGGGAACTTTGGAACTGATACCTACCCCTTAGATTTTTTCACCCTGAAGGAACTAAGGATGCTTGGTTGTTTTAGGAGTAGTGAGGCTGGAGCCTCAGGAATATTCGTACAGGGTTCTGTTAGCTTCTCTGTTTGATACCATCACCTAAATTTCTCCTTTCCTCCAGTTTCCCTAAATTTAACAAAACAGATAACTAACCCCTTGGATACATTTTCCTACTTAAACAGTTTTGAAGTACAAGTTTTGTGAGGCTAAAACTTGTGATCAGATTCAGAATTTAACCACATACAGACTTCATAATGGGAAGGAATCTAAAGCTGACAACAAATGCTCGCATGCTCATCTGCTCACAAGAAGCTAAGAATCCCACCTTGGAGAGGGTAACTGTGTGAGAGATCACCCATTCCTTTACCACTGGGTGTCTGGAAGGCTCGGGTTGGGGCAACTTAGTCCACCTCTGCCTGAAGGCCTGAGCACCTTGATTTTTTCTGATGTGAGCAACAGCTCAGGACTTGGGTTTCTTCCCTAGATCCAGACCTTTTCCAGAAACTGTGATGGCAGGTCTGTCCTCAAATTGAAGGCCTCCAACTCGGATGGTGGCTATCATGTTCAGTCACCACCCTGCAGCTAGTTAAGGAAGATTACTGAGCAGAAGAAATTCAGGTTTGTCTAGTTAGAAGACTCTGAGATCCTTCTGTGAACAGTCAGAAGACCTGAAGAGCCACTAACCACAATGGTTCGACCCCTTCCCATCTCCTGCTGGAGGCATGAGTCTTGGAAATCACTGACCAACTAGGTTGGCCTCACAACCTCGTTCTCTAGCCGTCTTGATCTTGCACTCACTCTGAGCAGCACTCACTTCTGTTGGGAGGCCCATGCAAAGGTATCATACCTCTCCCAGGAAATGCCATACCACTTAGTTCTCCGCAGTTATCCTAAGACACAAACAGCAAAGCAGGTGGCCATGGATCAGGCACGCTGTACACTAGGCTGAGCTGTAGAGCTGTGTTTGGAATTTTGTGCCTCTAGAGCCAGTGGAAGGGAGCCCAATCCAAGCACAGAGACAGTAGTGAACACTGAGGAGGAGGCAGTCCCTGCATCCAGAGTGTGGACACAGGAAGTTGTCAGTGCCGGCCAGATCCTCAGACACTCATACCCCAAAGACACCCTCTCTAAAAGGGGGAGGGCAGGATGCATGCAAGCAGTGTCAAGGAGAGTTCCTCACTGGGTGGCCTGCTTCAGCCAGCCGAGGTGGAACAGTAGAGTTTGGCGGGTCACTAATGGCGGCTCCTAGCAGCTTTAATATGGCTCCCCAGTCTGCCCTGAAGATAGAACTTGGGGAGCAAGGCTAGGTGTTACCATATACCAGCCTCGATTTTCTATATCCTTTGGAGCCAGAAGACATGCCCAGGGGACACCTTCTCATTCCCGACCACTACTGCGGGAAGCCTCTGGGAACAGACTTTGGGGAATTGAAAAGTGTCTCCTGCGGAAGAGCACACCATCCGTACAAAGGTCCCGCCCTCCCTTTCGCAGCCAATCAGCAGGAGATATATGCGAGGACACGCCCCTGCAGAATCTTTCTGTTCAGTCTCGCCCAGGGATTGGTCTTTCTGAATCCCCGCCCGGGGATGCTGACCAGAAACCTTTACACTTTCCCCAGCCTTTTGCAATTAAGCTGGAGACAGGACTCTTTTTTTTTTTTTTTTTTTTTTTTTTTTTTTTTTTTGTGGTACCGGGGATTGAACTCGGGCCCTTGCGCTTGTGAGGCAGGCGCCAGAACGCCTGAGCTAAATCCCCAGCCCGAGACTGGGCTCTTAAGTGGTGTTGATTTCTTTTTTTTGAACCCGCAACGGTGAAGCCTGGGCCATCAGTATCCTTGCCCACCGAGGGGTCTGGACTCCTAATTCCTGTTTTCTCTTCCGTTTGGTAGTGCCCGCCGTCCTAGCACCCACGCCCGAGGATCTAGATACATTTCCGCGATGCTGAGTCTAGCTCCGATCTAGTCACCCCCTCCCAGGAAGTTTTTTGCTAAGAAAGAGGCTATTTGGGATCTTTGTCTGCTCAGAATGGATTTGACAAAGGTGCCGCAGTGAATCAAGCTCTTACATCTTACTAGATTGTGATCTGTATTATGTCTGTGTTGTGTACGAGTCTTAGTTCTTAGATCCTCTTCTTCAAGAAGATTTGGGAAGTTTCCCAGGATCAGCTAGGTGGGAAAGTTCCACAATCCAGGGGCCCCTATTGTTTCCCTGGAAAATAATGAGGCGTCTTGATGTCTTTTTTTCTCTTTTCTCTGATCATTGGAACCAAACTCTGGGAAGGATCCAACCTGCCAGCATTCATACCTTCGACAAAATACAAGTGGGGGAGGAAGAAGTTGCTGGGACTTGTACAGCTGATTTCCTCCCTCCCAAGGCAGTCTGCATATTCCCTTCAAGCCATCTATCAGTGAGAAAATGTCATATTCCTAGCTCTGTGTGCCCCAGGTAGACTCCAGGACCTAAATCCAATAGAAGTGGGTCCCTTCTTTGCTTTGGCTTTGGCCAAGTTGGAACAATATGCTTCTTCTTTCGTATTGTCCATTTAAAGCAATTTGGAGGCCAGGCGTGTTGGCGCACACCTCTAATCCCAGCACTCTCAAAGCTGAGGCAGGAGGATTGCTGTGAGTTCGAGACCAGCCTGGACTACATAGTGAGTTCCAGGTCAGTCTCACCTACATAGTGAGACCCTGTCTCAAAAAAATTAATAAATTTTAAAAATAAAGCAATTTGGAGAGGGCATCTTCTACATCTCTTTTTTGTGCTTTGTGAGAACTTCAGAGGTATCAGAGAAATGCCTATGTTTGTCATTTGCCCTTCTATATCCTAGGTTTATAATACAGCATATTCTATTTTGGGAGTGGTGGGGGCGCTTGAAACCAATAAGCTAGGATATGCCTTTCTCAGGTAAGGGAAGCTGGCCTGTTGAGGGATTGAGGTGGGCTTGGAAAGAGTTTCCAGGTAGAGGTGCCACTCCTTTTTGGTGCAGGCCACAGCAGGGTAACAGGAAGAACCAGGAGCACTGCCCTTAGCTCCCGATATTGAGAGCCTCCTTCTTGTCAGGGCTGTGCCATGCCCTGGGCCCTGGCTTTTCCAGTGACTGACTGTAGGCTGCTTTTCTAACCTCTGACAAATCTGGAGGACCCTGCTCCAGCCACATATCCTTGAGGACTCAGCTATGTCCTTGATGTCTTCCTTGGGCATATCTGTGTCAATCCAGTGCTACTGGTATCTTTTTAAGGAAATTGTTGCTTTTTCACTGTTTACTCTAACAAATTTGGAAGATATAAACAAAAAACCTAACCAGAACCTTTCCAACCTCAGAAACAACTTGACTGACAGTTAAGGGTGCTCAGACATCAGCTACTTTTCCTCACTGCTGCAGCTGGTATCTTACCCCAGCTGCTGGGCCACCTGACTTCTATAGGCTCCCTATGCTGTCTAGTTGGCCCTCAGGGATGTCTGGAGACTCAAAACCATGAAGAAAGTGTTACAGTTTGGGTCTAGATTCCCCCCCAAAGCCTCCTTCAGTCATAGATGGCTTCAGAGTTGGCAAATCTAGAGTGTGTGGTGCTGGGATTAAGGAAATGTGGTTTCTAAACCAGTACACAATTAGTTTGGCATTACCCTAATCCTGGTAATCAGAATAAGATAAAAGGTGCAGAAAGATGCTGTTAAGGCTCTCTTGTTCTTTCTGTTTTCCACTGTCATAAACTGGGACCCTCTGCAACTCTGCGTTGGAGCCAGCTGATTATGATCTAAAACATCTATAAACTGTGAACCAAACAAACCTTTCCCCTGGAACTTCGGAGGTCAGGTTTTTGTTTTTCATTTTGTTGTTGTTGTTGTTGTTGTTTTGGTACAGGAAATCGAACTCAGGGCCTTGCGCTTGCAAGGCAGACAGTGGCACCACCGAGCTCAATCCCCAGCCCCTGGGTGTCAGGTATTTCCTCTCAACAATGAGAGAAAAATAACTAAGACAGAAGGGTTTTCCTCGTCAGCATCCCCTGTGGGAGCATAGGCACAGTATGACCCTGGGAGTACACCAAGGATCTGTCCTGTGCTACCCTTGGTTAGGAGAGTAGTGCTCGCTGTGCATCCATAGGGAAGATTCGCTGTTGGCATTATCAAAGGCAAAGGAAGAATTTTTTTTTTGTAAAGTAAAACATTAAGTGGTACATTTTAGATATACATAGTGATACCATTCATCATGGGGGAATTTGTACCAGTGCATGATATATCTTGCTTCTTTTTTTTTCCCCATTCCTTTTAAAGGAGGAAATTTTAAAAGAACCATGTGTAGAATTTGAAGTCAAAGAGGTGTGCTGCTGAAGAGATTAGTGCAATTAAAAAGAAACTAAATACTTTGAACTGGGACAAGAAAGAGGTTTTAAGGCACCTCAGAACTCAACAAGATAGCCCCTGCCCCCATGCAGGCTCAAGGGTGAAAAATCATACATGTTTCATTTGAGAAGAGATTCTGTGGGCCCCAAAAGGAACACGTAGGGCAATTGGTTCCCAAGGATTGTTTCACCACACTCAGCCATGCAGTCTCTCGGAAGATACTGTTGGCCATCACGCGAGGGGATCAAACCATTGCTTGAGCTGGGAGCAGACCTTCACATTGCCTACATAGTAGACATTTTTCAAGCATGCTAAATGTAAAATATCTAGAATTATGAAGGCTTACCCCAGAATTCAGAGAAAGTTCTGGGAGGCCAGGAATTGCATCACAAGATCAGGGTCCCTTTTGGGAGCTCCTGAAAGACTGGTGCATGAAGCTGTGAGAGTGGATCAGAAGCTGTAGTGGAGACCCTAAGAAGTTTAAGATACGGAATATCTGCCGAGGAAAGCTGCAGGCAGTGAGCAGAGACTCTCAAAACAGAGGTCATATGGGGTGCAACCAACAAGGCCATAGGTGTGGCACTGTTCCAGGCTCTGAAGCTTACATTTCACCACCATGTGACCTAGATGCTCAGGTTGGTTTAATGTGGGTTTATCTGGCTTTTGATCTTGCTGTGTTCTGATTCCTTTCTATACCTTCTTCCTCCATGGGAATGTTTACCTGGTGCCATTGTGCATGTAACTTGCTTCTTGATTTTTATAGGGACACACAAAGAGTTTGCCTTGAGTCTCAAAGGACATTTTGGATACTGATTTATGAGTGATTGAATCTATTGTCTTTGGAGAAAGGATTAGTGCATTTTTGGTTGTAAGCAGGTCAGTCATATCATGTTAGGTAACCTTGTGTGTGTTTATTTAGAAATTAAGGATGGTTTAAGGAGATATGGTTGTTAAACTGAAAGTTAATGTTGGTTGATAGAATTAAAAGACTCTTGGAGAGCTGGTTTGATTATGAGGGCGTGAACCTCATCAACAGGTTGATCTATTGATGAGTTCATAGCTGAATTAACTATTAGGAGGCCGGGCCTACTGGGAAGGAGCAAGTCATATGGGTGTGACCTTGGGGCCTCCCTGGCCCCTTCCCCTTAGAGTCTTTCCAATTTTTTCTCTTTCCCTGCCACTGTGGGTTGAACAGCTTTCCTCCATTTTGCCCTTTTGCCATGATGTCTTTGCCTTGAGCCAGCCAAACATGGAGTGAAACCTTGGAAACTGTGAGCCAAAATAAACTTCTCCTCTTTTAAGTTTTGAGTGTCAGTCATTTTGTCTCAGCAGTGGGAATACTTACCTGGACGCTATGTGATCTAGCAATTCCTCCAAGTTTTTAGATACCAAAGAATTGAAAACAAGGATTGAAAAGATATATGTAAATCCATGTTTGTAGCAACCTTATTTTTAAGTCAAAATATGGAGGAAACTCAGTAAATATTCACTTATGAATCAATAAACAAAAGGTGATTTATGAGTTGAAATTAAAAATACAATGACTAATTAAATTTTAAAAATTCTTATAGTAAAAGTCACATTTCCATTAACACACATCAAAATACAATCCTCCTTGCTTTGAACATCCTTATCTCATTTTTTCCACTTTTTGAAGCAGTTCTGGAAGTTTTCTTTTGTGGGTGTTGTTAGTTGTCCACCATGGCTCACTTGATGTCCTGAATAAAATCAAAATGTTTATCTTAGTGGTCATTTTGACCATGGAGAAGAGCCAGAAGTCACATGGTGCTAGATGGCAGAGTGGTGAACAGCATAGTAAGCCCCTTTCTGAGATTTGGTGTCCAAATGATGGAATGTAGCAACATGAGAAAAAGAAGAAGGAGGGAAGAGGGTCTCCGAGTCCAGCATGAACATGAAGAAAGAATTGAAGCCCACAGGGAGAGTGAAGGGACATCAAGGCAAAAGGAGGTGGTAAGTGATGCTTTCTCCCTGAACCCTTCCTGAAGGAATGGCTTGAACCTGCAGACCCACAGTGAATTCTGGCAACTCCAGAACCCTGCATGGAAAAACACACCAGTTGAATAAAGCAGTGAACACATTCGACTTCAAGACCTGGTAAGTTATTCATGTTTAGATGTCCCCAAGGAGAGGGCAATTGCCTGAAACCCACCTTGGAGAGGGGTCAGTTGAGCTTGGAACTGAGAGGAGCTGCAGGATGTCTCCATCTAGGGCTCCAAGTGTCCGAGTAAGAAAGAACTGAGTTCAAGCCAGCAGGGAGCTGAGTTCAAACTGGTAGGAGACAGAGAGTGTTTCAAGCTGAAGAAATTGGGTTTCAGCCTCATAGCCAGAAACCATCCTGAAATTCAGTGGCAATAAAGATGCAGGCTTGCTGGGAATATCTACCACCTTGCCATAAATCTATGGCTGACTTGCTGGAATTAATCATCACAGATCTGGGCTCTGCTTCCCCACTCTGTCTACCAGTGACAGAAGAGACATCCCCTGATGTGGACATTTTTTTCTTTTGTTCATTTTTCCTTTCTTTGTTTTGTATTTTCTTGATTATTTATTCTGGGTTTTAAATGAGCATGGACATTGTTTCTAGTTTTTTGTTCTGCTGTGTTCTTGTTTTTATTTCTTTGTTCTCGCTTTCCCTCCTATCTTCTTCACCAGTTCCCCAGAGTTCATATAATATTTCTTTGTCCTCCAGCCTTGCTTCTTATCTCTTCCTCTTCTATTTCTCTATTCCCCCTCAACACCTTTAAAATTTTATTCCTTAGGGTAAAATTTTAATGAAAAAATATAGAGAAGACAAAAAAGTAGAAAGACATCCAGTGTTGATTGAATAGAAGAATTGATAATATTAAAATGTCCATACTACTCATAGCAATCTACACATCGAAGATAAATCCTTACCAAATTACCACTGACATTCTTCAGAGAACTAGAAAGAAACAATTCTAAAATTTATATAGAACCACAAAAAGTAGGGGGGAAATGAGAGAGGAAATCATATCTGTAGCACTTGGATGAGGAAAAAGTTTTCAAATTTAAAGAGAAGAGAAAGGGGCTCCTAAGAGATGGTCTTTGGGGAGGGGAGAGAGAAGGAAAGCATAGTTTTCATTTTTACTTTTTTGTTCTCCACTCTTAAAAAGTTTCTCTAAAGCTGACTGGCACAATTGGAACCACTGCTAACCCTCTGGCTCAAGCTCTATCCCAATAAATCCTCAAGATTATGCCAATCAGTCAGAGTCAACTGCAAAGGTCATGTGGATGCTGAAGGAGCT